TTAGGGTCCCTCATGGCCAAAATGGTATCCTCAAAGATAGAAGGTTCCAGCCCTGTCCAACAATCTCTCTACTCACAGTTTCGTAAAATCAAGCTAGGCACCACCTTGGGCAAACTCTCTCGTATCCTAGATCGTGACCACTTTGCACTGGTTGTCCATACACAACGTCTCTGTAAGTGTCAATTTTCATTATTAATTTAATAATTTGTTTGCATTTCTATTGGGTCTGTACAGGTATTATGATGGAGAGTAAGAATCTGTATAGTTATGTCATTTTAATATAAATCTTTGTGCTAGATGTCTGTGGTAATTAATGTGAAGAAATTGTGTACAGTATTGAAGTGTTTGTAGTATTTTCTGTTTTTTTTAGTCTATTACAGTTCTGATTAGGTTCTTATTGTAGAGGTACTATATCTAGTTCATATAATTATATGATATCTGTCAAATTTTTAAGGAGTGGATCCTCAGCACTGGTAAGCTAGAAGTTGCTTAACCTTTGCCCCATAATGGGAACAAAGCTGCTTTGAACAAGACATCATGATGGCAAAGACCCTCCATCAGGAGACATTTTCCTTAACAAAGCAGATACCAATATCTGATTTTTAGTAAAAATTAAATTTTAGTTGTTTAGAATATTTTCAAAAGGATGTTAGTAGTTATTAATGTGTTGATTAAATATTTTGGAATAATTTTGGAGTGTAAATCTTTCTCCAGTTTTTTAACACTAGCCATCCCCCACCAAAAAATAAAAGGAAATACCATCACCATCATTTATTCAATAGCTGTTTTATAGGAAGTGTGCAGACATTAACAATTCAGATGACCCTGTGAACAGCAACATTCCAACTCCTCGTCCAGAGTGAAGGAGGAGTTGCAATATTCTAAGAACCAAAGAGTGTGCAGTCTCCAAAAAAATACATTTAGTGGCATTTATAAAATTTAGTATTTTTTAATATTTAAATTTATTGAATTTTGAACATTCACTTACAGTAGAATACAATAATACATCACAATAGTAGTTAGCAAGAACATTTATCCATAGCATGAACAGTAGATACATTTTGAGGAATTACACATTTCTTGGGCCAAGCAATGGGTTATAAGAGGTATTTTTATTACCGGTGAAGAGCATGAACTTTTACCTGGAGTATACCTGGAGAAGGTTTCAGGGGTCAATGCCCCCATGACCCAGTCTGTGACCAGGCCTCACAGTGGATCAGGGCCTGATCAACCAGGCTGTTACTGCTGGCTGCACATAGACTAACGTCCAAACCACAGCCAGGTTGGTCAGGTACTGACTTTAGGTGCCTGTCCAATGCATGCATTAAATAAATTTGCTTTGCATATAATTTTCTTATTAGTTCTCTATTAAGTGATAATTTTTTTCACTGCTTTGCTATGCATAAGTGTTTTGGCAATATATTTATATGTGTGGCATATTTTCTATTGCAGTTTTGTTGAATATACGGTTGCATAATTTTTTCCTCTATGTACAGTACAGTAATTCATTAGGTAACATTAGCAGTGTTGTTTACAAATTTTATTTTGCATTTTCATTTAAAAATACCATTGCTTAGAGTGCTGGAAAACCACCACTATAGTCAGTCATCTTGTCTGAATTTGTTATGGAAAAAATAATTCTTTTCATATTACAGTATTTTAACCTGTAAACAGTCCAACCAGATCTACGTTCACATGTGTAGTGCTACAAAAGTAGATCTACGTTTTTTTACATATTTTCAAATATAACAAAAAAAAAAAAGTAGATCAAAGATTTTTTAAACATTTGAAAATGTAAAAAAAACAAAAAGAAGATCTACTTTTTTTACATACTTTCAAATGTTGAAAAAACGTATATATACGTTTGGACCGTTTACAGGGTTAATAAACAAGCCAAATCCTCACCACCCTGAATTATTATTATTATTATAATCAAGGGGGAAGCGCTAAACCCGGAGGATTACACAGCGCCTGGGAGGGGGGGGATGTGGAAGACATTCAGGCTTAATTCGGGGAACTGGAGCACAGATCCAATTCCCTAAATCAAGAGCCCCTCACCAACATCAAGGAACCTTCCTTGAGGGGCTCACCACCCTGAAACGAAAGCTATTTATTACTTCAATACGAAGTGCATGTATATCACATAATCTATTGGATTGTTTTAAATAAGGCAGCTGTGGTCTTCCAATAACTTATCCTCTATTTTGTAAAGGTAATGCCTGTGAAAAGGAGAAACCACTCAAACAGAAAATTGATACACAGTTAAAAGAAAGGTGTGTATATTTCATCCACAATCAGAGACTTGTCTTCATCTGCTGAACGTCTTTGACTGAGGTTATTATATACAGATCTTTTAAGTGTGTTCCAGCTTTCTGTCAGAGTGCCTTGTCACATTTCATTGGTCACTGTTTATAACACTTAGATCACAGTATAGTAATGTCTTGTTTTTTAGGCATACAATAAAGGAACCTTAGATTTTTTATTTCTCTGGGCAGTTTTAATGATTATTACTCCTCATATTTGTAAGCTAGGTATGGTAGTGATCATGACTTATGAAACTGTAATAACACAATTGCAAGCAAACCACAGAACAAGTGGGGTTTGAACCCCATGGCAAGTGAGTCCTAAAATTCATCACTGTGGGGTTCAAACCCCATTCGTTCCAGTTACCTTAGACAAAGAACATAATTTTTTGAACATGAAACAATAAGCCTTTAGCTTGTCTTATCTGCCTCCTTGCTCTAATGGATAAAATATAATGTCTATGAAATTTAAATAATGCTTTCTTTGCAAGGATGTACAGTACCATAAGCAGAGCATAGGAATTAATATCTAGGTGAGTACAAATAGGAAGTGCATCTGTCGGGCACTCAGCAAATGGAGGATCAAGCCTCCACCACATCTTGCACTGAATAACCCAATTTTTTTTTTCTCAACAAGTTGGCAGTCTCCCACCGAGGCAGGGTGACCCAAAAAAGAAAGAAAATCCGCAAAAAGAAAATACTTTCATCATCATTCAACACTTTCACCTCACTCACACATAATCACTGTTTTTGCAGAGGTGCCCAGAATACAACAGTTTAGAAGTATATACGTATAAAAATACACAATATATCCCTCCAAACTGCCAATATCCCAAACCCCTCCTTTAGAGTGCAGGCATTGTACTTCCCATTTCAAGTACTCAAGTCTGGTTATATAAAATAACTGGTTTCCCTGAATCCCTTCACTAAATATTATCCTGCTCACATTCCAACAGATCGTCAGGTCCCAAATACCATTCGTCTCCATTCACTCGTATCGAACACGCTCATGCACGCCTGCTGGAAGTCCAAGCCCCTCGCCCACAAAGCCTCCCTTACCCCTTCCAACCTTGTCGAGGACGACCCCTACCCCGCCTTCCTTCTCCTACAGATTTAAATGCTCTCCATGTCATTCTACTTTGATCCATTCTCTCTAAATTACCAAACCATCTCAACAACCCCTCTTCAGCCCTCTGACTAATAGTTTTATTAACTCCACAACTTCTCCTAATTTCCACACTCCGAATTTTCTGCATAATATTTACACCACACATTGCCCTTAGACAGGACATATCCACTGCTTTAGTAGTTAGCAGTAACTTTGTATTTTATACATACAGTGGAACCTTGGTTTTTGTTTTTAATTGGTTCCAGAGAGTCTGACGAAAACCAAATTTGACGAAAACTAAAGCAATATTTCCCAAGTGAAATAATGTAAATCCAATTAATCTGTTCTAAACACCTAAAAGTATTAACAAAAAATACATTTTTTAGAGAATAAATATAGTTTTACATACAATGATATGATGAATTTACGTAAATAATACTTTGGCATATTTAAGTATGTCAGTTTTATCTTTCTTGCCTAAGTAAATGTTATCCTCCGAAAAACCACAAAGTATATGTTGCTGGTGTTGCAGGATAATTTATCTTCTATCACCAGGGAATTTGCATGATTTGCAACAACTGTTTACATTCACTCCTGTTTACCCTCACTTAATATCGCTTGAATACTGACAGTCCTTAGTATTTCTCTTTGCTTTGAGAGAGAATTAACCTCCTGAATATTCTGAAGAGTAAATTAGTTTGTATGGCAGCCACTGCCTGCCATCAGTGTTTCTATGGAAATAAATATATTGAAAAAATCTAGGCACCTAAAGTAAAAAAATTTGGTCTTGGAGTAACCATCCCACAAAAAGAGAAAATAATTTTCTATTGAATTTTTTTTTATATATACACTTTTATGCACAGAATAGAGAAATTATTAATATACACTATTTTTATAATAACTGCCCCTTTAAAAATTAAGAACTATATTATTTTTTCTCCCTTCTTACTCCACCTGGCACAGGCAGGGGACACCCTGGTAAGATTTCTACTTTGCAAGATTCTTGCATCATATTGCTTTTTCCTCTATTTGTATTTAATTGTCCTCCAAATGTATTACAAAATGCAATTGTTCTTAATGTTTTCAGTGATTTATCTTTGTTTTTGTTTTTTTAAATATACAGCACTGGTTAATTTGAAGTGAATTTTGTTTATGTAATAACATCAATCAGAAATTATTCCAGTGTTATACTATACTGTCACTACCTACAAGATATTTAACTTAAAATGCCATTTTTTTTTTCAATCTATATGTAACAGTGGTACCTCGGGATACGAACAGCTCAAAACTCGAACAATTATGCAAGTGTATTTATGTAAGTGCTTTTGTAAGTGTATTTTTGGGAGTCTGAAATGGATTAATCTAATTTACATTATTCCTTATGGGAACAAATTTGTTCGGTATCGGCACTCGAACAGCCTTCTGGAACAAAATAAATTCGTATCCCAAGGTACCACTGTATATTTTCTTGAGTGATTTTGGAAGATTCTGCATGTGCTTCTCTGTCCTAACAGATATTTAGCTTTTGTTTCGTTACACTGTTCTGTGCATTTCCTCACCAAAGATGATGAATTTAATGAAGTCCTGGTTTACTACTTGCTTACTTCCTCATTCTTCATATTATTACCCAATTTACAAAAAATTATGCCTAAAGTATAAATATAGACAACTAGGAAAGCAAGAAAATGCAAGACAAATTGGGATGGGCTAAGGTTTTTGTAAGAGTGTATATAAATTAAGCCAGATGTGTTTTGGTCACTATGTTATCCAAAAGAGGTGCCATCCATGTCCCATAACCTCAGCCTCCTTTACCTCTATGCATGCAAGAGGCTTGGTAGCTGTACCTCAGTTGCCTCATGGGGCCTTGAAGATTTAAATCAACCCCGATTCCCAAGAGGTCCAAGGGCTGGAGATCAACACTCAGAATACCCAAGACCTTCAGGTCAACGCTTTCAAGAGGCACAACATCTGTAACTTAACATCCACAAAAGGCCCAGTAACTAACTGTAGATCACCATCATTAAAAGGCACAAGCTGTATATCAACACCATTAATAGTTACAACTGTAGATCAATATCCTCTATAGGCAGAGGGGCTGTTGATCAGCACCCATAAGATGGCCAGGAGCTGAAAGTCAACCCAATTAAATACTGTCAAAATATGTGACTAATCAGACAAAACTTGGTCTGTCATATGACGTCAGTAGACTTTTAGACTTGCCATAATTTCACAACTACAACTGTGTCACAGAAACTAATAATACACTGACAAAACTCATGGCAGTGTGTCTACTGTGCAAATTGTGCTAGAGCATAGCATTTTATAAAATTATGCTTAAAAATTTAAATAAGCTAAAGTTTCCAAATTTTTGTCAGGTGTAAGATAAAAAATATTATATCTTAAAATGTTAAAAGGAAATGCATAAAAATTAATGGAGTGTAGAATTACAGCAACTTCATATAACCATTATAATTTCTCAGCTTGATATCACTTTTTTAGGGTTCCAGAAAACTAAGAATGGTACCCCCATCCCCAATTTTTAAATACATTTGCCACCTACAAAGCCCAATAAAAATTCAAACCTCTGCATACTAAGGCACTTTTTGCATACACACCTAAATGTTGCCCACCTTTGTACAAGCAGTGTATCATGCTACTATAAAGAATCTTTAATCTTTACGTAAGATACACCAGTATTGAAAGTTTCAAGTCAGTATGAAGAAGCATTCTCAAGTTGTTGCACAGAACCCAGTTCAAAGCCAGTCCAAACATTCATCTTAGTACAATATGCTAGTGTTGTGATTTTTGAAGCTGACGAGAAGAGGTATTCTCAGGTTATCACAAAGAAACCAGCATCCCAATTTGTTTGATAAAATTGGCACTTATACAGATCAATAACAATACAAGCCTTTCTTTGAGACACCAACTCCAGTGTTGAAATTTTGAAGCTGATCAGAAGAAGCATTCTCCAATTATCCCACAGAAACCAATAATCTCCACTTATTTAATAGTTAAATATTAAAAAATTGGCAGATTTGTACCTTCACATCCTGAACCAAGTACCGAATCTTCCTTTGGGTAAGATGTGTCAGTGTTTAAAATTCGAAGCCTTTGAGAAGAGGCATTCTCAAGTTTCTGCACAGAAAATAAAATAGCACATAGTTTCTAAATAAAATTGACAAATTGTCACCTACACAGTCCATTAATACTGAACTTTCTTCAGGTAGGTTTTTTTTTTTTTATCTGCATTGAAAGTTTAAAGCTAATCAGAGAAGGCATTCTCAAGTTATTGCATGAAATCTTGGAGGAAGGAAAAAATCTAAACCCCTCTCAGAGGATACCTAATAATAAAACGTTACTGATAATGCTTCAGCTAATCAGCCTTTCAAAGAATTCAATATCTATGACTCGGGAAATCGTAATGACATGATTGCAAACAAACTGTACCACAGCGGGGATAGAACTCGTGGGTTCTATCCCCGCCTGTGGTATGATTTAATTCAACATCCAGATATAAGCTAGCCCTTACAAGGCTTTGATTATAATAAATCGCTTTGTAGGCTTATAATATTCAGTACAGTAATATAATGGGTTTCAGAAAGTGTTGAGCATCATGGTAGTTTAGAAAGTTAGTCTTATTTGGAGGAATTTATGCTTGTGATGCACTTATCTACACCTTTTTCCTTCAGCAAAGACAGTTGAGGCAGGCATTAAACCAACCAAGGTTACGGTGGCCCATGGCCTTGTAGCAAAGGCTCTTGCTTCACACAGTGATGGTCTGGGTTTGATTCCCAGCAAGGGTAGAAACATTGGGCATGTTTCCTTACACTAGTTGTCTATATTCACCTATCAGTAATAATGGGTACCTGGGTGTTAGTCGACTGGTGTGGGTCGCATCCTGGGACAATACTGACCTACTTTGCTCGAAATGCTCTGCATACCAAGGGGTTTTCTATGTAGTACAGCCTCTCCTCACTTAACGATGGAGTTCTGTTCCTAAGACCACGTTGGTAAATGAATTCGTCGCTAAGTGAGGAGCATACTATAATGGTAGTGGGTTTGTGTCAATCATCTTTGATATTGTTTTAATGTCACCTTTGCACCATTTATAACATTTTTGGTATACATGTATATTTAAATGTTTATACAGTAGTGTACTGTATATTGTAATACAGAGAATAGAGGAAATCAGCTCTAATATACGTTATTTAGGTATGCATACTGGTCAGAGAGCCCGTCGTAAGTTTGAGTTGTCAGTAATCGAGTACATCGGTAAGTGAGGAGAGGCTGTAGTATGTCATTGATGTCAGCTAGGCCTGTACATGTACTTGTAAAAATAAAGACAATATTATTAAGGTTCATGCAATATTTTTTTAGATTTTTATTTGTCCTCTTCAAGGGATGTTCCTTGCCATGGTGATGAGACATTTATCTAATGAATTGTACCTTTTAGTCGTCTTCTTCAGGCCAAACCTAAATGCTCCCCACTTCTCCCTTCCCTACCCCTATCTTTACCATCCAACCTCCTTTCCCCATCCCTCCCCTCTCCTCTCCTCTCTTTCCTGGGTTCAGTCTCTGGGGATCTCACCTCAGAAATTATAGCTCCTGGGTCGAGGAAAGAGAAATGTTGTACATCCCATTCTGTTGAGGCCCTTGGTGGTGGTAGTGGCCTTTGCTCCCCACCTCCATTAACCCCTACTCTCACACATCCCTGTTTGTAGTGCTGTATGACCCATACAGGTTTAACATTTTTTCGTTATTAATAATTAGAATGTAATGAAAGCCTGTGTTTTTCTTGTGAAATGGGTAGCTCAAATGCAATATAGTACTGTATTGACATTTATAATTAGGTAACATTTGGTGAGTATACTCTGAAAGCAGGGCATACTCGCATTTGTGTATCAGATATTTAACAAAAAAGAGTAATACGTATAACATCAATCATTTTCTTTAATAATGTGCAAGGAATGAACTTTAGTATCTAGACTTGCCTTGTTTCTTACAGTGTTTATATTTTAAATGCAGAAATTTAAATTTAAGTTTTATATGCTGATAGTTTTTCATACTTTTTATACTTTATTTTAAGCAATTATTATTTGTAGGCTTTTGTTATACTCTAGCATAGAACTTTTTGTGTGTTTCTTAATAGTTCATATTCTTGCAGCAGTAAGCTTGAAGCAATTATAACAGATTTATTTAAATTCATTATACATACATGGTATATAGTACACTAAGTTGAAAACCCAGAGTATGCACAGCATTTAAGGCAGAAATAGACTAAGACTACTTAATACTAAAAGACTTCTTACTTGTGGAGTTAATGCTTTTGGGTTTAAGTACAAGATATTGACAGGAAGTTTAAAATAACAAGATTATTCACTAAATATTAAAAATTATAATTGACAAATTGGAAGAAGTTAAATGGTTGTTTATGTAATTAAAATAAATGATCGGTTTCAAATCAGAGAGTGTTCAGTAAGCCATGCGTGTCATAAGAGGCGACTAAAATGCCAGGAGCAAGTGGCTAGTAACCCCTTCTCCTGTATATATTACTAAATGTAAAAGGAGAAACTTTCGTTTTTTCTTTTGGGCCACCCCGCCTCGGTGGGATACGGCCGGTGTGTGAAAGAAAGAAAGAAGAACAGCATACAAACGATTGGACTATTTTAGCACAGGGTTTGTTTTTAGATATTTTGCAATTTTTCATTTTGTCTAGTAAATTAAATTATTTCACATTTATGACCCATTAAATTTGCATAGAATTTCTGTAGATGTTCAGTCACACACCAGGGATATTAAAGAGGTTTTTGTTTCTAGTGTGATGCCTATTTTTTTTTTTTTTTTTTTTTTTTTTAAAGGAAATGTCTTGGATAAGCATCAGCATTACAGTGTGGTGTCTATATTTTAGTATATGGTATATAACAGATTTACAATATCTGTAATATATTGATATTAAGACTACTGAATATATACAGTGCCTGTTTATACTGCACAAGAACAGGTACTAGGGCAATAATTTGTTTTTGTTCTACAGTGTATAGTATATTCATTAAGAATGCAGTTTATTATTTAATGATTCACTTCTGTTACGGTTGCAGATGTGGAAGGTTCTGTCATAGAGAAGGAAGTGTGCATTGGCATTGTGACCCAGATTGACCTCCTGACACACATCACCAAGCACCAAAAAGAGCAAAAGGAGACTCTTGAGTAATACCAGTAGTTGTATGTAGATCGAGGGAGTGGCAAATTGAGATTATGAAGAGGATTGCACTTGGAACTGTCAATACACCGAAAATTCAAATGACATTTTTTACGATAATTTGGTGGTATTTTTGGTAGACTCGAGGATAGTGGAAAAAAATATTTTTAATGTGTGTGTGTGTATGACTTATGACAACAAACTTTGAATTATTAATAATTTTTTAAGCTTTTTGGGGTAATTTCATTATATAAATTATATTTAATTTATCATAATACAACTGATACAAATGTTTTAATATCTTTTTGATAATAAGGCTAACCAGAGCTTACAGCATCAAAAACATTCTGCAGTAACTTATGCTGATCTGATTATCTTTCAAACAAAAACATATTGGCAAAAAAATGTTCTGTACTGGAATTACTATATACAGCAATATAAGTGTAATGCAGCAAATATCGAGGATTATTGTAATTAATGCAAACAAATATGAAGGAGTGCCATATTTATCACAAAACACTCTTAAGCACAATTCCTATCCATATATTTTTAATGCTGTATTGTCCAAACTTTCCCATTACATGACCAATTTGGGTAATTTTTACATTCCATTTATTACACTGACAATCAGATAGACGAGTGAAATGTTCAATGTTTTCTTAAACTGATAATTATTAATATATGCAAACATGACAGTGACACTTAACAATTATTTGTTTCTTTTATACTGTGATATTAAAAGAATTTAATTCAGCTCCATAGATTTTTATGTATTGGTCATTAAAGAGGTTTGGATGAAAGGGACTAACTGTGGTTTATTAGTGTTAATAAATTAGTCAGTACTGAAAATCATGAATAATGTTCTTATAATTATTGATAGTAGTATTGTTTATAAGAAAATATCAACAATGATAAATTTTATTTCTCAACACTTAATATATGTTGGCTTTCTCAGTAATTCAACTATCACTTCTTTTATTTACACCTATGTATAGTACATGTTTTATCCTGAAGTCTATGAGAAACAATGTAACACCAGTGTGTACAATAGTTATATTTTTTAAATAGATAATTGAAGAGACTGTCATGCACTTTTAAAAGTAGATGTGAAGAACTTAAAACATTATTACAATCAAAGCCAAGTGCTATATTCACAAGGGTTATATGGCACTTTAAACACATTAAAGCATGAATAATCATCTTAGGGTTGTAATACTTAAGAGATTTTTATGCTCATTTTTATAAATATATTAAATATAATGCTGAAGATAACTTATTTTTTTAATTTGATGTCCTCACTGAAATTTGTTTGATTTTCTATAAATAGCTTATTATACGCATACCTTATTTTAACCAAAATGTTGTATCCTATACCCACATTTTATTGGACAGTTATTTTTCCTTAAATATTACTCAATAAAATATTGTACCTAATTTCATCAAAGTTCATATTTACTAGTGATATGTAAATAACAAGATTACAGTACGTGTACTAGGAGATTTGTTATGGAAATATTTGATCACTTGGAGCTTTATCAATCCATAATAAATGCCTTGGTGTTGTACTTGTCTTGTTTATGTACTTGTTAGTAATTGAGACCATCTTCAACTTTTTTTTTTTTTTTTTTCAACAAGTCGGCCATCTCCCACCGAGGATATATAAAATATTTAACATATCCATTTTGTTTACCATATATTACTATTTTTGTAATTCATTATTTGAAATAATAGATGGGAATTATAATGATTGTTAAAATAATTTGTGTTTATTTAAACCTTAATTTTACATCTTGTTAGAGTACTAACATACATGTGGTTGCATGGGATGAGTCCTAACTCATGGCTTTGCCACTTGCCAGATGTACTCCCACCTAGCCTTGGCCCTATCATATATGCTCTTAAAACTTATGTATGGAACCTGCCTCCACCATTTTAAGGCCATTCCACTATGTTGTCATGTCTTCCCTAGCTTTTCTGTCCAGTGTCATTAGATTAAATTCCATCAGCCTCTCCTCGTAGCTCATACCCCATAATAATAATAATTATTTCTACAAGTACATGTACATGTGTGTAAAGGTAGAAAGTTGAAAGTGAACATAGAAAAGAGTAAGGTGATGAGGGTATCAAATGATTTAGATAAAGAAAAATTGGATATCAAATTGGGGAGGAGGAGTATGGAAGAAGTGAATGTTTTCAGATACTTGGGAGTTGACGTGTCGGCGGATGGATTTATGAATGATGAGGTTAATCATAGAATTGATGAGGGAAAAAAGGTGAGTGGTGCGTTGAGGTATATGTGGAGTCAAAAAACGTTATCTATGGAGGCAAAGAAGGGAATGTATGAAAGTATAGTAGTACCAACACTCTTATATGGGTGTGAAGCTTGGGTGGTAAATGCAGCAGCGAGGAGACGGTTGGAGGCAATGGAGATGTCCTGTTTAAGGGCAATGTGTGGTGTAAATATGCAGAAAATTCGGAGTGTGGAAATTAGGAAAAGGTGTGGAGTTAATAAAAGTATTAGTCAGAGGGCAGAAGAGGGGTTGTTGAGGTGGTTTGGTCATTTAGAGAGAATGGATCAAAGTAGAATGACATGGAAAGCATATAAATCTATAGGGGAAGGAAGGCGGGGTAGGGGTCGTCCTCGAAAGGGTTGGAGAGAGGGGGTAAAGGAGGTTTTGTGGGCAAGGGGCTTGGACTTCCAGCAAGCGTGCGTGAGCGTGTTAGATAGGAGTGAATGGAGACGAATGGTACTTGGGACCTGACGATCTGTTGGAGTGTGAGCAGGGTAATATTTAGTGAAAGGATTCAGGGAAATCGGTTATTTTCATATAGTCGGACTTGAGTCCTGGAAATGGGAAATACAGTGCCTGCACTTTAAAGGAGGGGTTTGGGATATTGGCAGTTTGGAGGGATATGTTGTGTATCTTTATATGTGTATGCTTCTAAACTTGTATTCTGAGCACCTCTGCAAAAACAGTGATAATGTGTGAGTGTGGTGAAAGTGTTGAATGATGATGAAAGTATTTTCTTTTTGGGGATTTTCTCTTTTTTGGGTCACCCTGCCTTGGTGGGAGACAGCCAACTTGTTGAAAAAAAAAAAAAAACGTACAAGGTATACAGGCCTAGCTGACATCAATGACATACTACTATATAGAAAGCCCCTTGTTATGCAGAGCATTTTGGGCAAATTAAGTCAATTTTGTCCCAGGATGTGACCCACTCCTGTTGACTAATACCTACTCATGTTACTGATGCGGTGAACAGGGACATCAGGTGTCTCATGGAAACATGTCCTAATGTGTTGAGTCATACACATGAAATATCAGAGAGATACTTGTTCCTTATATCAGGAACATAAGAAAGGAGGAGCACTGCAGGAGGCCTACTAGCCCATGCTAGGTAGATCCAAGTCATGCCCATCTACTCATGTGCCTATCTAACCTATTTTTAAAGCTACACAAGGTTTTAGCTTCAATGACTACTCAGGAGTTTGTTCCACTCATCCACAACTTTAATACCAAACCAATGCTTTCCTACATCATTTCTAAATCTAAACGTTTTCCAACTTGAACCTATTGCTACAAGTCCTGTCTTGGTTAAATATTTTTAGCACATTATTTACATCCCCTTTATTTATTCCTGTTTTCCATTTAGGCACCTCAATCATATCTTCCCTAATACTACATCTTTCCAGAGAGTGCAGATTCGGTGCTTTCAGTCTATCCTTTTAGGAAAGATTTCTGATACATGAGATCAATATTGTCATCCTTCACTGTACATTTTCCAGCATATTTATGTCCATTTGTTCTGTTGCAGTTCTACAGACAGAATTTAAGCTCTCGGTCAGTGTTTGTGTCATGTGTCCTGTAAACACAGCATGCACAGTAGTGTGAATATTGTGTACGTTAAGCAAATTTAAATTTCTGAACAATGCAGTGTGTGTTGCTTGGAGCCTGAAAGAGTAATTATTCTGAGAGCTGATTTTTACTAAGAACAGGTTGAAGGTGGTTAGCTGTTGATCCCCAGTCCCAGGGTAGGGATGGGCAGTACAAAGTGAGGAAGAATGTTTGGGGGTACATAACAGTATTTTTTGAGAGAATGCCCATGTTCACAGAGTGCCAGCACTCTGCTCCTCTTGGTTCCCAGAGTACCTGTCCTCTTCCATGTCACCAGGGTACCTGTCCTCTTCCATGTTACCAGAGTACCTGCACTCCTCCATGTTACCAGAGTACCTGCACTCTTTCATGTTACCAGAGTACCTGCACTCCATGTTACCAGAGTACTTGCACTCCTCCATGTTACCAGAGTACCTGCACTCTTCCATGTTACCAGAGTACCTGCACTCCTCCATGTTACCAGAGTACCTGCACTCTTCCATGTTACCAGAGTACCTGCACTCCATGTTACCAGAGTACTTGCACTCATCCATGTTACCAGAGTACCTGCTGTATAGCCCTTGTGGCTTAGCGCTTCTTTTTGATTATAATAATACCAGAGTACCTGCACTCTTCCATGTTACCAGAGTACCTGCACTCTTCCATGTTACCAGAGTACCTGCACTCTTCCATGTTACCAGAGTACCTGCACTCCTCCATGTTACCAGAGTACCTGCACTCCTCCATGTTACCAGAGTACCTGCACTTCTCCATGTTACCAGAGTACTTGCACTCTTCCATGTTACCAGAATGCCTGTACTCTTCCATGTTACCAGAGTACCTGTACTCTTCCATGTTACCAGAGTACCTGCACTCCTCCATGTTACCAGAGTACATGCACTCATTCATGTTGCCAGAGTACCTGTACTCCTCCATGTTACCAGAGTACCTGCACTCCACTCCTTCATCTGCATTCCCAGGGTACCAGCACTCCAATTACTCCAAACAAAACACCTCTATATCCTCCATCCTCCCACCCTTGAAGGCATAGAGGCGGAAATGGTAGGGAGGGAGCATCTCACCAAGTATAGAGAGGGAAGGGGGGAGGGAGCGAAAGAGGAGGAGGGTTGGAGAGAATCTACTTCCCCCTCCTCCTCCTCCCTCCTCCTCCTCCTCTTCCTGCTGGTTCTCCCACTCCTTTGCTTCACTCACCTCCCTCACACCTGCCTTCCTCCCTCGATCCTCCATTCCCAGGAGGAGGGGGCGATAGAGGGAGTCTGTCCTGGACACACGTGTGGTGCTGTGCTGGTACTGTGATAGCTATGCTGTGCGGGTGCGACAGTGTTAATGGTGATAAAAGGTGCTGGACTGTGTTAGTGCTATGATATATGGTGTTAAAGCGTGCAGTTAGTGTTGGACTGTGTTGTACTGTGCTTCGTGTTGCTAGAAGCAGCACTGCTACTGTCTTGTAGAGTGGTCATAACACGTGCCTGAACTGCTTCTCATAGAAACTGGGTGAGTACTGGACTCTTATATAGGACCCCCATGAGTACTGGACTCTTATATAGGACCCCCATGAGTACTGGACTCTTATATAGGACCCCCATGAGTACTGGACTCTTATATAGGACCCCCATGTGTACTGGACTCTTATATAGGACCCCCATGAGTACTGGACTCTTATATAGGACCCCCATGAGTACTGGACTCTTATATAGGACCCCATGAGTACTGGACTCTTATATAGGACCCCCATGAGTACTGGACTCGTATAGGAACTGGGTGAGTACTGGAGTCTTATACAGAAACTGGGTGAGTACTGGAGTCTTGTATAGAAACTGGGTGAGTACTGGACTCTTATATAGGAACTGGATGAGTACTGGAGTCTTATATAAAAATTGGGTGAGTACTGGAGTCTTATATAGGAACTGGGTGAGTACTGGAGTCATAAAAATTGGGTGAGTACTGGAGTCTTATATAGAAAGTAGGTGAGTACTGGAGTCTTGTATAGAAACTGGGTGAGTACTAGACTCTAACATAAGAGAGATAAGATTTTGTTGGGATTTTTAACCCATGGTAGAGGGTTAGCCACCTAGGATAACCCAAGAAAGTGCGTCATCGAGGACTGTCTGTCTTATGTCCATTGTGGTCCCTAGTCTTGTCCCCCAGAATGCCACCCACACCAGTCCACTAACACCCAGGTACCTACTTGCTGCTAGATGAACAGGGACAACAGGTGTAAGGAAACATGCCCAACATTTTCACCTATGCAGGGGATTGAACAACGGACACTCAGTGTGTGAGGCGAGAACGTTGCCTACCAGGCCACGGGTCACATATAGGGACTGGGAGACTACTGTGTCCTCAGCCTTGCCAAGCCACGTTCTGATTATAGGTTAACTGAGACGCTGTTATTATTTTCATGGAGAAGCGCTAAACCCGTAGGGTTATACAGCACCTGGGCAATGGGGAGAAATCAGAGTGGGGAAGCGTCACGAGCGGTGTTCCACAGGGGTCAGTGTTGGGCCCCCTGCTGTTCACAATCTACATAAACGACATAGATGAGGGCATAAAGAGCGACATCAGCAAGTTTGCCGATGACACCAAAATAGGCCGTCGAATTCATTCTGATGAGGACATTAGAGCACTCCAGGAAGATTTGAATAGACTGATGCAGTGGTCGGAGAAGTGGCAGATGCAGTTTAATATAGACAAATGCAAAGTTCTAAATGTTGGACAGGACAATAACCATGCCACATATAAACTAAATAATGTAGATCTTAATATTACGGATTGCGAAAAAGATTTAGGAGTTCTGGTTAGCAGTAATCTGAAACCAAGACAACAGTGCATAAGTGTTCGCAATAAAGCTAATAGAATCCTTGGCTTCATATCAAGAAGCATAAATAATAGGAGTCCTCAGGTTGTTCTTCAACTCTATACATCCTTGGTTAGGCCTCATTTAGATTATGCTGCACAGTTTTGGTCACCGTATTATAGAATGGATATAAATGCTCTGGAAAATGTACAAAGGAGGATGACAAGGTTGATCCCATGTATCAGGAACCTTCCCTATGAGGATAGACTAAGGGCCCTGAATCTGCACTCTCTAGAAAGACGTAGAATTAGGGGGGACATGATTGAGGTGTATAAATGGAAGACAGGAATAAATAAAGAGGATGTAAATAGTGTGCTGAAAATATCTAGCCTAGACAGGACTCGCAGCAATGGTTTTAAGTTTGAAAAATTCAGATTCAGGAAGGATATAGGAAAGTACTGGTTTGGTAATAGAGTTGTGGATGAGTGGAACAAACTCCCGAGTACAGTTATAGAGGCCAGAACATTGTGTAGCTTTAAAAATAGGTTGGATAAATACATGAGTGGATGTGGGTGGGTGTGAGTTGGACCTGATAGTTTGTGCTACCAGGTCGGTTGTCGTGTTCCTCCCTTAAGTCAATGTGACCTGACCTGACTAGGTTGGGTGCATTGGCTTAAGCCGGTAGGAGACTTGGACCTGCCTCGCATGGGCCAGTAGGCCTTCTGTAGTGTTCCTTCGTTCTTATGTTCTTAATAAGTTCTACTCTGAGTACGGCGAAGGGTAGCTCTGGTTCCTAGGATCACGACCCCCTGAGGAGCATGAAGATGTGGAGAGGGTCTTCGGGAAAGCAAAATAAACATGGTCGTTGGGTCAGGGTTGCTGTGGCCCCTCATGTGCTTTTTTTTTTTCCGTCTCTCTCACCGTTTTTTTTTTTTCTTTCTTCCATCTTTTCATCCTACATAGCATTCTATTACAAGAACATAAGAGAGAGTACTGCAACAGGCCTACTGGCCTGTTGTTATCCTGTCTTCCAGGTCTACTGGCCCATGCTAGGCAGGTCAAACTCACACCCACTCATGTAAGGTTATTCAGGTACAGATACAATTATTACACATAGTATAAATTACCTGGGATAACCCGAAAAAGTCAGAGTGACTTATTTCCATTTGGGTCTGTTAACTATTTAAAGCTACACAAAGTATTCATTGGTATGGTTTATTCATTTCAATGACGATATTCGGAAGTTTGCTCCACTCGTCCACAACTTTATTGCCAAGTCATTACATTCATTACATTCTTTCTAAACCTAAATTTTTCCAACCTGAACATGTTGCTGCTGAACCTTCACCTTCTTACTAAACCTCACCTTCCTTCTGAGCCTCACCTTCGTACTGAACTTTCACTTCTGAACCTTAACCTTCCTTCTGAACCTCATGAACCTTCTGTGCACTCGTAACATACATATATTAATACCCTTTTTACACATGATGTCAGACTTGTCCAATAAAACTGCCTTCGTTAATGAGATAAAAAAAACTTAAACAATTGCAGTCTATTTCTTGCTTTACCCTCTCTAATTCTCTCCCGTCAAGTTCTACACTTATTCCGGCGTCCATCATCACTCCTGTTTCCCGTGTCATCAAGAATACTAAGTAGCAGCTGGGTGGGGACCTTTCTTCTCACCTCTGTCACGTTCCCTCTCCTTCTTCACCTCTTTCCTCACCTTTTTGTTCTGTAGACAAACGTTCTCTCTCTCTCTCTCTCTCTCTCTCTCTCTCTCTCTCTCTCTCTCTCTCTCTCTCTCTCTCTCTCTCTCTCTCTCTCTTCTCTCTCTCTCTCTCTCCACCTCGCCCACAGCACTTCCTCACGCTAGTGTCATATAAAGTTGTTTAAGTATAGTCTTGGAGGTAGTGTACGATCTGACGTAAAAAAAAGTATACTGTTGAAGTTAAATATGTGTAGTATAAGTAGCATAAGTGTTAAGAATAGCATAAAGTAAAGAAGTAACTTTGATATATCTTTGATGAGTATCCTTTTAATTAACATATTGTCGGTAATTCTACCAACATTATTGCAACATTTACATTGTGAGTTGCAGCATTAGTCTCATAAGAATATAAGAAGGAACACTGCAGCAGGCCTACTGGCCCATGCGAGGCAGGTTCAAGTCTCCTACCGGCTCATAATAATGCTGGAAAAATACAGAGACAGATAATAATAAAAGTTAATCTTCTGCCTCAGACATCTTGATGAACAAAACAGAGAACCCTGAATATACCTTCTTAAAAAATGTGATTTATTAAAATAGTTAAAAGATAGGCATAAATAAAAATATGTAAATACGACAGGAAAAGTCGGTCGATGGATCTATAATTTCCTCACTAACAGAACACAGAGAGTAGTCGTCAACAGAGTAAAGTCCGAGGCAGCTACGGTGAAAAGCTCTGTTCCACAAGGCACAGTACTAGCTCCCATCTTGTTCCTCATCCTCATATCCGACATAGACAAGGATGTCAGCCACAGCACCGTGTCTTCCTTTGCAGATGACACCCGAATCTGCATGACAGTGTCTTCCATTGCAGACACTGCAAGGCTCCAGGCGGACATCAACCAAATCTTTCAGTGGGCTGCTGAAAACAATATGAAGTTCAACGATGAGAAATTTCAATTACTCAGATATGGTAAACATGAGGAAATTAAATCTTCATCAGAGTACAAAACAAATTCTGGCCACAAAATAGAGCGAAACACCAACGTCAAAGACCTGGGAGTGATTATGTCGGAGGATCTCACCTTCAAGGACCATAACACTGTATCAATCGCATCTGCTAGAAAAATGACAGGATGGATAATGAGAACCTTCAAAACTAGGGATGCCAAGCCCATGATGACACTCTTCAGGTCACTTGTTCTATCTAGGCTGGAATATTGCTGCACACTAACAGCACCTTTCAAGGCAGGTGAAATTGCCGACCTAGAAAATGTACAGAGAACTTTCACGGCGCGCATAACGGAGATAAAACACCTCAATTACTGGGAGCGCTTGAGGTTTCTAAACCTGTATTCCCTGGAACGCAGGAGGGAGAGATACATGATTATATACACCTGGAAAATCCTAGAGGGACTAGTACCGAACTTGCACACGAAAATCACTCACTACGAAAGCAAAAGACTTGGCAGACGATGCACCATCCCCCCAATGAAAAGCAGGGGTGTCACTAGCACGTTAAGAGACCATACAATAAGTGTCAGGGGCCCGAGACTGTTCAACTGCCTCCCAGCACACATAAGGGGGATTACCAACAGACCCCTGGCAGTCTTCAAGCTGGCACTGGACAAGCACCTAAAGTCAGTTCCTGATCAGCCGGGCTGTGGCTCGTACGTTGGTTTGCGTGCAGCCAGCAGCAACAGCCTGGTTGATCAGGCGCTGATCCACCAGGAGGCCTGGTCACAGACCGGGCCGCGGGGGCGTTGACCCCCGAAACTCTCTCCAGGTAAACGACGAGAACAAGATAATTCTCAACGTCATTATTACGTTCATAGCCGAGGGGCGCTAAACCAGTACGAGACATAAAAATGGAAAATGGGAGAATTAGGATGTATCCAAAGAGAGGATAGGTCCAATTCCTTGGAACAAGAGCCTGCCACTAGCATCAAGACACCTTCCTGGAGAGGAGTGTTCAGTCATGGATACAAA